AAGCTAGACACAAAGGAGTATTTATGAAATAGTTCTATTAATACAACATAAACTATCTACAGTGTTATAAATCAGGTTAGTGGTTACTCTGTGGGTTTTACAGAATGAAAAGGGGTATGGAGAGTTTCTATAGTGCTATTCAGGTTGCACAGATTTCTAAATGTGTGCTATATTTCAATAACATGAGTAAATTAAAACAAAACAAAACAAAAAATAGATTGCTACCTGAGTTTCTTATGGTAATCTAAGAGGAATTAGAGCTGTGGTTGAGATACTGTGAAAAACCCTACACTAATGAGACAGGAGACTGGGAACCTAGGAGGAAAGACGTCAATGAGAAATTCACGGTAGCTGGATCATCTAAACGTTTTTAAAGAACAGAGTATTTTATGTTCACTTTAAAATTGTGCTCTATTATGCCTGTAATCCTAACACTTTGGGAGGCCGAGGCAGGTGGATCACTTGAGGTCAGAAGTTCAAGACCAGCCTGGCCTATATGGTGAAACCCTATCTCTACTAAAAATACAAAAAAATAGCCAGGCATGGTGGTGTGTGCCTGTAATCCCAGTTACCCAGAAGGCTGAGGCAAGATAATAGTTCAAACCCAGGAGGTGGAGGTTGCAGTGAGCTGAGACTGCATCACTGCACTCCAGTCTGGGCCACAGAGTGAGAATCTGTCTCAAAAACAATAACAAAGCAAAACTAAAAAAATGTAATAAAATTGTTTTCTATGCTGCAATTTGCTCTAACCCTCAGTGACACCTTCTCCACCACCAATTTTATTGTTCTCATCAGTGAAGTTTACAACACTCCAAAAAGCAGGGCAAGGAAACAGTGATGGAATAAGGTGAAAGACGGGCTATGTTATTATGGGATAGAAAAGCCAAAGGAATACCACTCTGAATAAAGAGCAAAAGAAGGGAGGGATCACGAAGACAGGAGTTTGATCATGACGTCAGGTAGCTGACCAACATGGTGAAACCTCATCTCTACTAAAAATACAAAAATTAGCTGAGTGTGGTGGCATGTCCCTGTAATCCCAGCTACTTGGAAGGTTAAGGCAGGAGAATCACTTGAACCCAGGAGGTGGAGGTTGCAGTGAGCTTAGATTGCGCCATTGCACTCCAGCCTTGGTGACAGATCGAGACTCTGTCTCAAAGAAAAAAAGGGAGAGAGAAGAGTGCCCCAGATTGAGAGAAGGAAATGCAAAGGTTCCAACACAGGATATGCTGGGCACATCCAAAGACCAGCAAGGAAACCAGTATGTGTGAAGCCAAGGAAGATGGTAGGGATAAGATCAGAGATGTAGCCAGGACCCACATGATGCTGGCTTTAATGGGCCATGAATTTTACTGAATTTCACTCTGAGACAGCAATGCATTACGGACATGGTTTTGAGTAGAGAAATTACCAAATCCAAGTTTGGTTTGAAATGTGTCATTGCAGTTGCTTTGGGAAGACCAGCCTGTAGGACGGCAAGGTGGATGCAGGAAAACCAGATAGGATGTCTTCTAGAGAAAGATGATGCCAGCTTGGATAGGGCTAGCAGGGAGACAGGAAAAAGAGGTTGAGTCTGGATGTATTTTGAAAGTCAAACCATCAGGACTTGTAGATGGGTTGGAGATGGTGTGTCAGGAAAGGAGAGGAAAAGTATCAGAGATGTCTCAGGAAAGAACTTCCTTACCCAGCTGAACAAGCTCCTCCAGTGGAAGCATTTAGTTCTTCCACTGGACTGTCTGAATGATATTTTCTCTTCAGCTTATCTGCCAAATAGGTTTCCAAGGGGCTTCTTGTTCTTAGCAGTCAGGGGCCCAGGTGATCTCTACACACCAAATGTTCTTGAACCATAAAGCAATCAGATTATGGTTCTGTACTTTATGGATTTTCAGATTTTATGGTTGAAAAATAAATTTCCTATACCAAAGATACTTTTTAACTGCTGGGGACTCTATGTACCTTCCCCTGCCGGCCCCGCCACATGCAGTTTAATACTGGTCCAAAGGGTTTTTTTTAAATAAAAGCAAGGGAAGCTGCTTTAGGGGAAACAGTGGCCATATGATGTGGAATTTGGGGACGCGAGATGCTGAAATATGAAAGGAAGGAGGAACAGCCCCTTCATCTTGGCTCTCGAGGATGTTAGGAACAGAGGGTATACCAGAAGAAGGTGTAAGGGAGTAAATGACTGAGGTGTAAACAAACATCCTAACATTTTAAAGCCTCCCAAATGTTTCTCTTTCAAAAGTTACCTTAGAGAGAACCTGCTAGTCCTCTGTTAATTATACCACGGTCACAGAGGTGCTGCTATTGTTCTGAGCTTACTTGGAACTCTTCTTTGGAATCTGTCCAAAAGGATTGAATGTGACTTACTCCAAAATCTGTGCTTCCAAAGGTCAGATCCCTGAAATGCTCTGCTACCAAGAATCCCAGATTCTCCCGGTTGGCAGGAACTTTAAAGCTTCTAGCCATAGTATTTGAGCTCCCACATCAGTCCTTCAGCATCTTCCCAGGCAGCTTTGATTCACTGTGGACTGAAATCTTCCTACCATTCCTTCTATCCACTGGTCATAATAGAGTATGAGGTTGTATTTTCCAAACTTAAATATCACTGGTCCTATTAGTTCTTTTATACCGTTCTTTTACGTTGCTCATTTTTCTCACATAAGAAAATTTACCTTAAATGAAAACTACATCACTTTGTAAGTGGAAAACTATGTCAACTGGAACTTAACTGCATGAGGAATAATAACAGATTAAAGAGAAATTGATGATATTAAATTCTACTTAGAAGCTGTTGCCTAGCAAAGGTTCTGAACAAGATGCAATCTCTTTGTTAAAACAGGAGATTGGCAAGTGTTAGAGGAGTGCAAAGACAAATATCACAAAAACGATACTCCTTGATTGACATAATCCATAGGAACAAGAGAAGTGAAAAGGGCATATCTCTTTTTCTTCTTGTGATCCACTGTTATTTAACGTTATTGTCTGTGTCAACCCAAGACCATCTCCACTGGCAGATGCACACACTGGGACACATTGGTAAAGTGACCAAGCACCAGGACTGTAAGTCAAGCTGATCAGGTTCAGGTCTTGGCTCTGCCTACTCCTAGCTGCCCAACCCTAAATACTGGAAGCTCTGCATGCATCCATTTCTTCATCTTTAAAACGGAAGCAATAATAGATCTTCAGAATAACGCTTTCTTAAACATAGTGCCCGAATTTGGACATTATGCCCAGGTGTAACCTGACCATTGAGGAGTATTAGTTCAGCCTAAGACTGCAGCCTCATTCAGGTTTTGAACTGAACTCATTCAGCCTATGGGTGTTCACAAGGCTGTGCTTGTAGCCAACTAAAATAAAATCTGAGATATTTTGATATACACCACTATTGAGCCACATCCGCCATTACAAACTTAAATTTCTGGGTGTTTCCACCTGTGGGAGAACTTCACATTTATTCTTATTAACTAGATTTTCCCCCTTCACTAGTGCTTTAACATTTGCTCAGCTCCTTCTACTACCCTGCATTTGTGGAAAGGAAGCCGAATGAGCAGAACTGGGCCATGAAGAGGATGTGTTTGACAGGCTGGATGGGAGTCTGTGTTCCTTTGAGTAAAGGAAATGGAAACTTTGTTGAATATCCATGCTGTTCTGGGCACTTTCCTTGACTATTTCATTTAATACTCCAAGGACTTCTTGAGGCAGATGTTATTGCCATTTTGCAGAGAAGAAATCTGAATTTTTATATGAAGTTATTAAACATGATAAATGCCCCAATTTTCTGCTTTTTGCTTAATAGTATTTTGCAAACATTTTATCATGTTACTTCACGTTTTCCTTTTTTTCTTTTTAAATAAATACATACTCTCTCCTTATTCTAAAAAGACTTTGAAGCACTTCTCTCTTGATGTTTATCATTTTAATGGTTGCATAATACCCCATTAAGTCGCCCTAATTTATTAAACCAATTTCCCACTGTTGACAGTTTGGCTATGTTTGCTTTTTGTGGTCCTAAAAATTATTTTCTGTAATAAATGATCCTGCTGAAAACATCTCTGCACGAATATTATTTAGTTCTGGAAATTTCCCCAAGTATGGAATACTACATTAAAGGGGACAATATTTTTGGTGGTTCTTTGTAGAGACTAGCCTACTCAAAGGAGTATGCTTTATCTGAAGGTAAAAAGCCAAAAACAAACACACAAAAAATGTGATTTTCTACATAAGAAATTAAATTTCCACTTATTCATAAAATATTCTAGTGCTGTGATGGGTGGCAGGCACCTTGCCAGGGGCTGGGGACAAGGATAAGCAAGGCCAGGTCCGGGTCTCCGACGAGCGCACTGTGGAGTCGGGATAGGGTAGACCTAGTGCAACAGGCGCCTGGCTGCAGCGAGGGAGGACGGCACGCCCTTTCCTGCAGGAGTGTAGAAGGAGGGAGCTTTTTGCTAGCACCGAGGTCTTGCGGCATAGGCAACGCGTGACTTGAGTCTTGCAGAATGAGTAAGAGTTTGGATATGCGATTTGTATTTATTTTACTGTGAATCTCTGGTCTTATATCAGAAAAAAATTGTGCCACCCTCGGCACAGAGGACGTTGGTGGCGTCGAAGGCCCCTTAAGCCTCCTTCCATCGCCTGGGAGTAGGGGTGGGGGAAGAGGACCTCCCGACAGCAGGTGCAGGATTTGGGAGCCTAGAACCCCTGGCGCGGCACGGGAGAGGGCAGGAGAGGACTTAAGCGCGGGGCTCGCCGTCGGCTGGGGACCCGAGCCGGCGTGTGGCCCTCGGGGAGCGGAAGATGCGCCCTCGGCGACCCTGAGGCGTCAGCTCAGCTCTCTGCGGGCTGAGGAGACGGTGAGGAAACCGGGACTAACCAGGGTGGGGGGTTAGAGGACAGCCCGCGAGTGGGCTCCGAGGGCAACTAGGCTCGGCAGTCCCGGACCCCGAGGGTGCAAGCGGGCGGGGAGCGGGAGAGGGAGGGGGCGGAGCTCCGGGGCTGGGGCTGGGGCCGACGCGGCCGCCCAGAGGGTCTGCGGGGGCTGCTGCGGCGGGACTCGAAGGCCGGCGCCGGGAGCTCAGGGAGCCACACGCGCCTCTCCAAGACCGTGGCCTCGGCATAGGGAGCGGGTCCGCGCGCCATCCTGAGCTCAGACCTGAGCCCATCCTCGTGGAGACCCACGGCAGAGGGGCCAGAGCTGCCTCTGTGCGGGGGAGCCCCGGCCGCTACGCAGGTAGGACCGCGGAGGAGAGCGGGCGAAAAGCGCCCCGGGTGGGGGAGGGGCCGTGGCGGAGTCTGGGGCAAAGGGCCCGGGGCCGAACGAGGGGCGCACGCCGGAGCAGCTCCGGCCTGGCTGCATTGGGTGTGGACGTGGAGGAAGTAGGGACCAGATTACAGGATCAGCAGGATCAAGGCTTTCCCAGGCTCAGTACTGGACTGTTCATTGTCCCTCCAGAAGGGGCAGCGGGTCGCCCACGCGAATGAACGGGAGCGCGCACTAAAACGCCTGCTGTCGGTAGTTTCTTGCACCTCCGCCTTGTTTCTGCCTGTGATGTGGTCAGAAAGGACTTGCTTTCCACGTGTTAATAACGGCACAGGTAGCTTTACGGACTGTAGGCATAATGGAAAGGAGAGCCACAGGGTTACTTCTGGCCTCTGGGACCCTCAGTGCGCCCGCAGGATTCCTGGGTCAAGCCGCCAACTACCTTGGGGACTTTGCTTCAGTGGCACCAAATTAGACTGTCGTTCCCGGGGCCTGATCACTAGGCTCCATATATAGTTCAAGCATACCAGGCTGATGGAGTTTTATTATTATTTTAACATTATAGCTTTCGATAGATAACATGCATATGCTTTCTTTTTTTTAAGTCAAACAATACAAGTATTTATCTTCTAGAGGCAATGCCTGCACTAGCATTTGCACTAGCAACAGACATTGCTATCTCCTTTCTTTACCCATAGCCTTTCCCACTCTACATGTTCTGTCACCATCTTTTAATTCTTTATCCAGAAAATGATGTCACCACCACTACCCACATCCCTTAATCTCCAGTGTTCCTTCTTGCAACACCTCTTTTGTCCTTGTTTTTCACAACGTGGGCCTCAGGGTAGGGAGCCTACAAACGAGAAGACATTTCATTTACTTGCTTCAACTATCCTTGAGATTTGAGAAGGCACATTGGAGAAGAATCCATGAAAAGGTCTTTACACGTCTGTTTTTCTCCTTAAACTGGATTTTCCACGTGCAGTTTAGGTAGTCTGTTATTGAGAGGAAATTATGCAGGCTGTTTCTTGAAATGCTCTAGATTTCCAGAACTTAACACCACAGTAATTCCCATTCCTTAAAACGGAAGTCCGTCAGTCACACCTCGCTGTTGCCTTTCCCACTTCCATCCACTCCAGTATCCCCTAAATGGCATGCCTAGGATTTTTCCTGTGTAGGAACCTGGGAGAGCGGATGTTTTATACCGGCCTCCCAGGTGCCTCATGAAGAGGCCGAGGGTCAAAGCTTTGTGGTGGACAAGGGGGAGGGGAAGATGTATGAGAAGTCGGAGGGGAAGTAGGAAGGAAGAAGCTGGCCAAGATCCTTGAGTGGAGAAGAATCCTTGAGCACAGAGCCCTGTCATTTAGGAACACCTCCCATATAATTTGCTAAGAGACCACACATGCAGGTTACCTCCTGCCATCAATCAGCACAGTCAGCTTTGTTCCAAGACTTCTTCCGTGCTTGGCCAAAACATAGTAAGTGAAAAGAAATCGACAAATCAACTAGTTTTTGTCTCTATGATAAAACAGAGTGGTTGAAATTAAATTGATTAAAAATTTTCTTTTTACTGAAGTAGCAGGTTCTTTAAGAGCTGTGTCCATTGTTTAAAATCACCTAATAGGTACTCCAGTCTCCACATTTTCCTTTATTTTGTTTATCTTTTCATATTGCATAACCATGAACTGGATCCCAACCACCTCAGAAAGTCCAGACTGGTTAGAAGCTGCTGCTTCTAAGACATTTTGGTGGGAGAGAGTGGGGAGGAAAGGATGAGAATATAATGACTGATCCCTGTGATAGGGCAGGGGGATAATGAAGAGGAAGAAGTTGGCTACAAGGTGGTCCTCAGGATAAGGATCCCACTAATGAGAAGTTTGAGACTGGTGAGGAGTCGCATACAATTCTTAAGAGAATGGGTTAATTAGTAAGAGGTTTTAAAAAATCATTCATCATTCATCATCCAAAATGTTTATAGGATGCCTGGCTATATGCTTGTCACTGGGAACTAAATGGTATATAAAACCAGGTGAGGTCCCCGCTCTCCTGGAGCTTACAGATGCTTTAGGGTGGCAGCTGTTAGGAAATTAACTAAATATTGACTATATGTTATTACAAACTAAAATAAACTCTTATACAGGAAAGAAACAAAGTTCTTGTGTATACAGACTGAACTGTGAGACCAGAGAAGGCTTTCTCAAGGAAATCTCCTTTGAGCAGATATTCAAAGATGGAGAGGAAGGTTGAGGGTATATTTGTTTTTGACCTAGGAACAGAATGTATCCAGTAAGAATGGTGTTTGGCTGCTAGTCATTAAGAAGGCTGACTGTCATGTGACATTTGCCGTACTACATAAGCTCATGTGCCAATTTGGCATTTTTGGCACTTTGGGATAGAATGCTTTGTTATCACAGTTTCAATTGCATTGTCTTGATTTGGTCATGGTTTGCCATTGCTGTATTCTTGTTTTATAATTAAATGCTTTGATTAACTATTCTTTTCAGTATATTTTATTGTGTACAATAAAATGTGTGCATTGCAGTTCAAAGGTGAATCATCCATATTACCATTAATAAGGTAAATATATATATAACTCTCATACCAAATATGGTGTATACACTGATTATTCAGTGTTATCACTGAATAGATTCTTTAGCAGTGAAAACAGGTGTGGCAGATGGGCTGTAATATCCTCCCTCCATCCCTAGCCACTGCTCTAGTTGGGAGGATGCCAGAATTTTTTAGTTTTTCTAAACCTGCATATACCTTTTCAAAGATTCATATACAGCTCTTTAGTAAAGAAAAAAATCACCAATTGCACTGATACTGTAAATATAAATTTCACAAGGTAGTTCATGGGGTGCTTTAAGGAAGCAACATATTTGACATTCAAACAAATGTTTTTATTCATTCTACAGTGTTTACAGTAAACCTTCTATGTGCCCAGAACTGTGCTAGATGCTGTAATTAAAATTGATTACTAGGACAGAGTCCCAACATTTAAGGAGTTCATAGAAGTCTAAAAGAGGGAGTCATACTCCTCCGTGTCCAAGTAGTATTGTGTTCATTACAATGGAAGCATAATCAGGGTACAGTGATGTATAAGAGAAAGGAGTGGTCAATTCTACCAAGGGAGAAAGGGTCAGGGGAAGGTTCTTGGAGGACGTAACGCTTGAGTTGAATCTTGAAAGATGAGGTGTTACACCAGGTAGACAAAAGAAGAAGTTAAATATGTTGTTTGGTTAGAGCACCCCATGAACTACCTAGTGAAATTTATATTTACAGCATCAGTGCAATTGGTGGTTTTTTTCTTTACTAAAAAGCTGTATGGGAAAGAGATTCATGTGCAAAAATGAGCAACCAGCAACAACTAAACCAGAGGCTTGAAACATCATGTCAGGTTCTAGGATCTGCAAGCGGTTCAAGGATCTGAAGCATAAGGAGCAAAGAGGTAGGCAGGCTAGCAAGGTGGCTTAAGTATGCGCGATGGGGTCACAGAACCAAGGTTTGAGTCATGGTTCTGCCACTTTCTAGCTGTAAGATCTCTGTTAAGTAATTTAGCCTCAGTAATTAATGGTAATGAAGTCAATACCTCTGGGATTGCTGCAAAGATTCAGATAAGATATGCACAGCTTACATACTCAGGAATTGTTGGCTATTCTTTTCATTATTTATTCTAGGGCAAGGGAAGCTGCTAGAGGGTTTTACATAGAGGATTAACTTCGAGAGCATTTTTGATTAGAGTGCAATCATTCTGGCTGCATGTGGATGCTGGGTTGAAGGGGGGTCATTTGGAACACAGTAACCACTTAAAGACATTATACCCATTCAGATAATGATAATGATGGCCTGAACCATGGCAGTCATGACAGTAGCCATGGAGAAAATGAGCTAAATGCTGAAGCTATCGCCGAAGTAGACTCCACCACAGAACTCAGTTACTCATTAGATGTAGGCAGTGAGGGAGAGGATTTGGAGAGGTGAAGCTGGGATTCTGGTCTGTTATCATTTGGCTCTGTCATTCAAGTGATCTTGGAATAGAAAAAAAAGAAGTGGGTATCAACCAGGACTGGGGATCAGGAATCTGGGAAGTGCTTGTATACAGAGAACTTCATGATTGGTACCAAAAAAATGCTGTCTCTGATTCAGAAGAGCCCTTGACCATTTCTGTGGCTGAACATAAGATAGGAACAATTAATTCATACCAAACACAATATTCATCTTCTCCCTCTCTCCCTCTCTCTCTCTCTCTCTCTCTCTCTCTTTCTCTTTCTCTTTCTCTTTCACTCTCTCTATTTCTGGGAGGCTTTCAGTTCAAAGTGGGTGGACAATAGACTTCACCTATTTGTCATTGCCTTCAAGTGGCACATGTAACCCTCATTCATACCTGGTAGTGTTGGTTCAACTCTTGCCTGACACCAGCCTGATTGACTTTATTCTCCTTTTTTCTCATGTCTTCCCATATACAATAAGCACTAATTGAGGTACCTGCATGGACTTTATTAAAGCCCATGAGAATTAGAGGATTTAGGTAGTTCCTATTTCATAACGCAGTGCAGCCTTGGTAACCACATTATTCATTCGTAAGGCAGGAAACAATACAGACATGTGTGATAGTGCTTGTTGGAAAGTTGCCGAGAGCTTTATTACTGTTTCCACCAAAGGTGGAGACTAGGAAGTGCTGATTAAGGGTGTGCTTTTGGATTCAGTTGCTCAAACAACTGTCATTACTTAAAGCCACAGAAACGAACAGACATTGTAATTAGGCAGAGCCAAATGAGTGAGATGGTCAAATATGAAACGAGGAAAACAAGATCAGCTTCTGCCATGGACAGTCTAGTTTTGTTAAAAGTGGGCTTTCTATCTCTGACCTTCAGCATGACATTAACTTAGCTGAGCCTCACTTTTTAGCGGTGGGCATACCTCTGAGACCTATGATGATAAGGTAATGTCTCCTTCACAGGGCAGCT